ATGCGCCAGCGACGGTGCCTACTAGAGCCTGTATGGGATAGTCGTCAACATTTGGGATGCGAGGCAGCAATAAATACTGATGACATGAAGGTATGGAAGTGTTCTATTAAATGAAGACAGACTGCCGATCAACCTAAATCGGTTGGGGTAGTGGTCGAACAGTTAACTAATGCGGTTCAACGTCGGTAAGTCTAACACACTTCGCCTGGGCAACACAGCCAAATCCGCCGGTGAAAACAATGTAAACATTTAATAAGTCATGCCAGGAAACGTGCGCTTATGATTATTCATCATCAGGCCAGCACAACAATATGGCAGTCCGGCCATCGCATCCGACGATGTCCATCGTGTGCTCCACAGTAGGGTGAAGCAGGCACGGCTAGTACGCATGAATTAGTTTACAGTGGGAGAAGACTTGTACAGCATCCACTACACTCCCTCCGCCTCCTCCCCACCTGGGCTCGGCGTCAAGACATAGTCAAGAAGGTGACTACCATGGCCGGACCCGCGCCTAGGCATACCACCACACCCCGCTTTTGCACAACAAACACTTGACCAGGATTTTCACCAAAAAAGAGCTCGGTCAGAAAGAAGAGAGGATAACACGAGTCCCTAAACGACCATACACACGGCCTGCATACGCAGCGGGAGCGCAAGCGCATCTTCCGGGAGGGAACCAGGTGCCAGAGAACTACCAGCCAACACCAGGCCGCGAAGGCCATGGTTCACTGACGCACACAATCTTTGAAGCGTACACTAAAATAAGAAAGGTTAGAGTAGCAAATGTTAGACAGTCAATAAAATGTAAGAATGAGGAGAGGTTTGAGGACGTTCAAAGGTCAGGCGTTATAGCGTAGTTTTGTCAGGGGTTCGGGTAGGGGAAAAGTGTCTGAGAACAGACTGTGTCTCTCTTTCGTCGCTGCAACGCGGCGTAATAGAAGGTTTGAACACACCTGTTAAAAGTGTTTGCGACAAAAAGGGATTCGGCTTCAATGAGATCGATGGAAATGGAAAGCCTTCTTGAGAAACTACGGAAAAGACGTCCATAAGCAACAGAATGTTCTAAAAACGGAACGATAATATATTTGGGGACAAAACGACACTTTGCCAAATCGACATTCCGGAAAAAAACTATGTTTCCAAATTTCATTATCATCGCTGTATCGCCTCTCATGTCCAATTTGTCTCGCAACTCACAAAACCCTGCATTTTCCAAGTAAGTCGCAGCTTTTTTGATTCGGCACATACGTAATTGTTCTGTCAATAAATGAGCTTGTAAGCAAAGGAGCTAAATTTTCCATACCCAGCTTGAATCCATCGTTATCGCCTTGTTGTTTTTCTCCACAACTTTTGAGGTCAAAAATTTGCAAACGCTATTCATTTCAGTTAGGCCTCTGTGTGCGCTATGCCGATTAGGTTGAATTTTAAACGCACGCATAGGTACAACGTATCTGCTAAAGATTTGTATGTGATACCCATCTATTCTCTTGATAATACATGTGTGGAGTACACTGTTTCTCCAAGCACAACCGGCCGTGATGCATTAGAATACGTTGCACAACGTCTAGATATCGAAGACGTGAGTTTGCATAATCTTTTATGGCTTGCAGACTTGCTTTTTTGGCTTTCGGTTTGAGGCCTGGAATGACAACCAGAGGTGGCTTTTCCTTAGTAAACCGGTGAAGAAGCAATTGGATAAGTATGCGCGACAGCACGCACTAGTCCTCTGCATTATGCTGTTCATAGACAATCCGCAGTACCTACCCAGTGCGCGTCTAAGGTCAGTTTGAGAATGAACAGGTTTGATGTTTTCTTTAATGTCTTTGTGGCGTGCATAGTTTGTAAGTGTGCATTTTTTGCCGGTGTCCATAAATGTATAAGACAGAAGGACCCCTAGTAGCAAATCCATACCGAGGCGACAGCGACTCACTGCCGAAAAGTCTCTATAGGCATGACTGATTAGCGGATTTTGTCCATTTGGTCGTTTTCGAGACGACAGCGAAAAGTCGCGATAAGACGCTATATGGTGCAGCACCGGATATTAGCTGTCTTTGCGTAGTATGCCTCTTAGTACCTACGAACGGTCCTTACCAGATCACTTATGTGCTCTATCAATTCACATACTATGTATCCCCCGAAGCAGATTCGAGTCGAAGTTGTTTTGTTGTTGGCGAATAATGTTTTTTTACTGTAATAACATAGTGCGAAAAGCGGGTGTTCTCAAATGCTCTCTTGCGTCTTCGATGAGGGACACGATGGGCCTGTGGTGGGTTCTGAACGGAGGACGTGTATTTAGA